CAGGAGAAGAATTGATGCCTTTGAGTTGTGATGTTAAAAAACACGGGCTATCCCATGGTCTACCGAAAGAATGATCAATTATGTGTTGGAAAGGGTGCAGCCAGAGTGCTCCAAGAGGCAAGGATAGCAAACCTTTTTCTCTCCTATTTTAGACATGTTGCTAGGGGAGGAAGAGGAAATCGTACTTGGAAATGTGGATGTTGAGTGAAAGGGTGGAAGACCTTCAGCAAGAATGTACTGACACAGTGATTTCAGCAACACTAACAACGTAGTATTCACAGGCACAGATTCAAATCTTTGGTGGCATGATGTTGAGATGCTGAGCAGAGTTTCTAGGAAAGGAGACTGGGCCTCTAGCATGCTCACTGCAGAACAAATATTGAATGTTGGCTTCACTTCTCCTTTTTCCTTGAAGAATAAAGCTCTTCATTTTTTGATTAAGGAAAACACATACTAATGTAGGTTTTGGGTGTTTTTATTTTTATTAATTTTAATGAAAGTTTACAGACTTAGGGTTTCCAGTCATTCATTGTTGCATTTCCCCTCCCCCCATTCCTCCTTGAAAAGAAAAACTCTTTCATTGTTATGCAATACCTTCCCCCTAGTTCCCAAGTCCACGCCACTGTACAGCCTTCACTCTGGATTTCTGTAATTACAATAATACCCAATCATATATCCCTTTTGAACGGTTCTCTCCCTCATTTCTTTCAATGCAGTAAACATTATTCCTCCCCTCCTTTTCTGTCTTCCCTCAACCCTGGTGTCAGTCCCATTTTACAACAGTGGCTCTATGCAAAATTTGTCCATTTGTGACTCAGCATAATGTCCTCCAGGGTCATCCATTTTGCATAATATAGGTATTTTTTTAAGCGGCATAAAGCAAACTTTTATAAAACAGAAGATAATTGTGTTGTTGTTATGTGCCGTCGAGTCCCTTGCGACTCGTAACGACCCTATGTACAACAGCCCTAAACTCTGCTCTGTCCTGTGCCAATTGCACTGTCTCTGACATCCATCCTGATTACCCCAGTCACTGAATCAAACCACCTCATAGAGGGTCTTCCCCTCCTGCGCTGTCCCTCCACCCTCCCAAGCATGATGTCCCTCTCCAAGGACCGGTCCCTCCTTACAACATGTCCAAAGTATGTTAGATGGAGCCTCAGAATCCTTGCCTCCAAGGAGCCACCTGGTTTAACCCTTTCCAGGATGAATCTGTTTGTTTTCCTAGCAGTCCATGATACTCTCAATACTCTTCTCCAGCACCACAGCTCAAAGGCATCAATTCTCCTTCTTTTTTTCTTAATTTTATTTTATTTTATTATTTTTGTGTGTGTGTACCGTCAAATCAGATCTGACTGATACAGGAGGAGATTGCCCCTCCTTCCCTGGCAGAGCATCTGGTGGATTCAAACCATGCGCCTCTGGGATTGTAGTTGCAGCTCCTTGCCACTAGGCCACCAGAGCTCCCCTCATCAATTATCCTTCTATCCTCCTTGGTCATTGTCCAGCTCTCTGATGCATAACAAGTGATTGCAAAGACCATGGCCTGTATCAGACGCACCTTAGTCTCCAGAGAGACACCATTGCTCTTCAGTACTTTGAAGAGGTCCCTAACAGCAGATAACTGTACTTACCACTAATTCATTTTACTGTTTCCCTTAACCTTCCAAAGTTACTTTCTACTCAATTAAACTTATCATACATCAGCAATCCTCCTCCCCATCCCTTTCCTGAAGGCTTCTAGGCTCCTGCTCCAGGGTGTCCTTTAAGACAGCACAGCTGCTATCCTGGGACCTCCCTTTACCACTCCCCTGGGCCATCTGTTTTCCAGATCTGCTGGGTTTGTTATTTTGCTGGGGCACTTCTCCCATTAATTTCGTGTAAAAGTACATAGAATGAAACCATTTTGCTACCTTTATTCTACTTGTTAGAAGGATGTAGCAGATATCAAAATTGATGATAAAAATAATTTACCCTCAGAATTTTGAAAGTCTTAGCTTCCAATTTGCTATTGAGATGTATGTTACCATCCATATCTACAAATCTTTGGATGTGACTCCCCACTTCTGTGCAAGAATTTAAGGTAGTTTCTTTTGACAAGCACTGTGGCAATTGGACATTTAAAACAGACATTCGGGGGGAGGGGAAGAAGAACGAACTGGGGAGGAGGGTAGAGAAAACAGTGCAACAATTAATGAATGAGAACCCAAAATCTCTGTAAATGTTCATTAAAACGAATAAAATTTAATAATAATTTTTTTTAAAAAGGTAGTCTCTGGTAGCCTAGTGGTAAAGAGCAGCTCTGCCAACTCAAATGCACACGGTTTGAATCCACCTGCTGCTCAGAAAATGGGCAGCCTTCTTCCCTGTGACTTAGTGCCTTTGAAAACCTGCTGGAGGTATCAGCTGAGTCAGTTCTGACTCAACAGTACATAACAGCAGTAATGGTTAGAAACATGGATTCTGGAGACTGTGACCTTGGGCAAATCTGTTAATCTGTTCCCTCAATTGCAAAAGGAAGTAGTTATATTAAATTGATTTGTATATATAAAGCACTATTAGGATCTCTTTATCTCTGGTATTTTGAAACTTCAGAATAAATGAATGAATGAATATAAATGAATGAATGTTGGTTTCTTTTCATTTGAATTCCCCTGGGAATTCAATAAATATGTGTCACAACTTCAAGTTTTTAAAAACTTTTTAAAAAACAAAAACTTTGTTCTTTTAAATAACCACCTTTCTTCCATCTCCTTTATTCCTTTTCTCTAACTCCTCTTGGAGTTCTGAGCTCATCTCTGGTTTTTATCTCCCCCGCCCCCGCAATATGTGTGGGTGTTTGTTTTTTTTTTTCTCTGATAAATTTCAACTTTATAATCGAAATCTTCTACTGAATTAAAGCATTTTAACTATCTTTTCATTGCATATAGTGTTCTATTACCTTTTTTTCTTTAGGCTAGGGAATTGTTTCCCTACCCTTCTACTTCCTCTTTAATTTTTCCTATTTGCTTTGGTTAGAAACATCCAACTTCTTTCAGGTTGGATTCTTGATTGCATATATTAAGAAAGCATTATAAACCTTTTCATTTGGGGGTCTTCACTTGATTTCGGGGGTCAGATAGTGAGTAGACTCTCTCATTGTCAAGTTAGAAATGACTCACAGCTGATTCTCCAGTTTCTGAGGTTGTAAATCCTACAGGAGGGAGATTTCTCATTTTTCTCCCATTGATGGATTTGAATAGCCAGAGGTGAGGCTTTGGGCTTAGTGGTGCAACTCCCTACAGACTATGCCACGCAAGCTCCCTAGCAAATTGGGGTCTCCACAACGTTCCTGTTTATAGGTATTCATTGTTTGGATACATTTTCTCCTGCTGAAGGGAAAAAAGAAACAAGAAAACCTCATTTGTCTTCCCTCCTCCTTGGATTTTACCATGCTGTTAACACCTTTCTCCCATGGAACCCATCCAGTCATTCAGCCTCTGACTTAGTACTCCACAGTGTCAGGACTCAAGGCAGAGTTAGGTATATTGCTATATATACACTTTAGCCAGGTTTTGGGTTTGTTTTTAAAAGCTAAACTGAAGGGCAATCTTTTTTCAGTTTTAATCTGTTTCAACCAGGCTTTCCAGGTCAGCTGTCTCTGCCTATAGTGTTTTCACTCACATTTCCTAGATAATTGAAAGCTTCCCTTGATTAGCAGAGGTGAGGCAAGCATCTGGCTACATGCAGTGTGTGGGGTGGAGGATTTCAAAGATCTAATAATGACCCTGTTATTCTTTCAGCCCATGCACTGCTCTACACGCCCACTCCCCCCCCCCTTTCAGAGTCCATCTACTTGCTTGTGTGGGTATTTCTCCACTTAAAGCTTCTGCCAAGTTAGTTACCTTCTTCCAACTACTTCCCATCTTCCAAGAACTGTTGACCCCTAGTTCTTGAGTGTATACCTATTTTGAGCACTTTGTTCTTTTTTTTAATTCAAGTTTACAGACTTAGGGTGTCCAGTCATTCATTGTTGCACTTTTCTCCCTGCCCCTCCCCTCCCACCCAGTTCATTCTTCTTCTTGAAAAGTAAAACTCTTTCATTGTTATACAGTCCCTCCCCCCAAGTCCACTCCACTGTGCATGTTATTTTTGGAGGAAGATGCAAGCTCAAATCTGTTTTCAATTCCCTGGCCCAGGATCTAGAAAGGCAATTCACATTCTCCCAGGTTCTACAGGTTATCAATTAGTTCATTTTTCAGAGACAGGAACACTTAGAATTCTAAGAAACCAAGCATTAGCCAGAATAATCTTTCAACTTCATTTTATTTTATTTTTGCTAGAAATGATCTTGATTAAGTCACCAGGAACTAATTTTCAGCACAAGATTTAACATCTCAATGACCACCAGGGCATGAGCTCTAGGTTTCCTCTGTCTCTCCCAGTCCTTAACAGGATTTGGAAGGAGAAACATCATTAATAGAGGTCAAGTTAGGTGGTTAGGGTCACCTTTCCCAGGCACTGGACAAGCTGCTCAATTCTTGTCCAGAGCAGGAAAGAGCCAATTCTTTAGAAAAACTTAAGAATTTGATGTAAGATCTCTTAACAATTTAACTTTATCAAGAATGATTGGTCCAAACATTGGCTAAATTTTTTCCTTTGTGTTCATGTAATTTATCTTTAATAAATAATCTTGCTTTCTGTGCAGAAATCAATCATATGCAGTGCAATGAAAGAAAAAAAAATCCCTAATAGTCCATCTTGTTCTTGAGAAAGATCAGATTATTCTGCTTTTTGACCCAAGAGAACAAATCTCCCTCCAAAATGTTACTTCTGGCCTTATATAATGTGCATAAAAATACAAGCTGCCTCTAATGAACTGATTTAACTAGGTTTTTTCTTTTCAACAATGGCAGCTGGTACCCCTAGGCGGGTAGCCTTCTTTGGAAACTTTTTTCTTCATTAAAATCCAACTCTTGAACAAAGGTTCTAAAGATCCAAACAGGTTCTGCCGTTCCATTTCACAAGGGAGGCTCGGAGGAGGCACAGAAGTTGTCAGGGACAAGAGAAGTCACAGTGGCCCCTCGAGGTAGGACCTCAATAACTCGAGGCTTGTCAATGATCCGGGCCGTGCGGTTTCCCTTTTCCACAATGCCCACGATCCAGGCTTGATGCCCTTCTCCGTACTTGGAGGATTTGATCTCGGAACAAAAACGAGCTGCCTGTTCCCTGGGCAGGCAAATCAGGAGTCCGCCAGAGGTTTCAGCAGAAGTGCCCTGAAGGAGCCCAAACCTCCCGCTGGCCTTGCTGATGGCTGCCATCTTGGCGATGATGGGCAGATTGTGAATGACGAAGGACACTTCGTTTCGCTGCTGTTTTGCAAGGTTCTGAGAGTGTCCCAGAATGCCAAAGCCGGTGATGTCTGTGGCCGCATGGGCATTAAAGGTGTGCATCAGCCCTGCGGCCGTCCTGTTGAGGGTGGCCATGTTGAACATGGCTTCTTGATAGGCCAGCTCCACCTCGTCCCGAGACACCACCATCTTTATCTTACTCCATCGTTCAGGGTTATCCAGCCACTGGTGGGCATTGACAGCCACCTGGGTTCCTAAGGGTTTGGTTAACACCAGTACGTCCCCCACCACTGCGCTGTCAGGCAGTATGAACTCATTGGGCTGACACACCACGGTGGCAACCCCACCGATGATAATCCAGGGGTTCACCACCGTCTGCCCACCGGTCACCGCGGTGCCCCCTTCCTCGGCAGCATCGCGGAAGCCCTTGATCATGAGTGGCGTTATCTTCTCTCGCTCCTCCTCGGTCATGGACTGGCTGACACTAAGTAACATCAACATGTTGTCACATTCGGTAATGCCCATGGCGTAAAGGTCACTGAGCACGTTGGCACAGGCTATGCGCCCCATCATGTAGGGATCGTCCACCAGGGGGTAAAAGAAGTCTGTCGTCTGCACTAGTGACAGGCCTCCGTGCCTCAACGGGATAACACAGGAGTCCAACCCGATGCCCAGGACGGGCGCCGCTGGGCCGGGGTCCGCCCCGCCAGCCATGCCGGCTTCCTGGGCTGCGTCCTCATGGCCTCCGGCCGGGCCCCGGCCCAGCGGGGGCCGCGTCAGTCCCGCCAGGAGTTTGAGCAGAGTCTCCTGGGGGACCTTGCAGCCTCAGCCCTTCATGCCCGAGAAGCCGGTCAGACGCCAGCTCGGGTTCAGGCCCAGCGACTGGGGTTCGAAGGGCCGGTAGCTGGCGAAGCTGCGACCCAGAGGCAAGCCCGCCGAGGCGGCGGAACCCTCCGCCACCGCCATTGCCGCCATCGCCTCTCCGCTGGCGCCCGCGGCTTCCGCCATCACGCCGGCCCCGCACAGAGGGCAAGAGGGAAGCAAAGTCCTTCTGAGTTTCTGCTCGAGTTAAAATGAATACGCAGGGTATTACCCGCAGGGCTGCTGACCAGCACACGCCGAACCACGCCACGCGTTGCTCACCTTCCGGAGCCGCGCCGCCTGCGCTCTTTATTTATAAGCCTGATGATTGACAGCCAAACCATCCAATGATCACTCTGTCACGGAGAGGCGGGCTTCCTTTAGTCTAAAAGGTACATCTCAAATCAACTCTCCGCTTGCAAAACTGGTGCAAGGGAGAGCGCTGAGCGTCACGTGCTAGGATTCGTTGCCCTTGTAATTTAAATGTGCTCTTGGGCGTGGCTGACGGAGCTACGCTCACCTGGTCGGTTTAGCAAATCCAGCGTTTTCTTAGCTCAAGGAGGACCGGTTATTTGGCAAAGCTTGAGAAGTTCCGAATTGTCCAAGAGGTAACTTTACAGTGCACATGAACGAGGAAAACAGCCTATGGGAAAAGTAATACAAAACAAAAGAAGAACGAAAATTAGAAATGAAGTTACTCCCCTTGCGAAAGTAAATGTCAGTGTCAAAATCCTTAAATTCTAAATGGATTGTGGGTTCTGGTGCAATTCCTGCTGCTGTGTATCATTTTCTCCCTCAAGGCCTTAATTGACTCACCTCATAAACCTAACTCATAAAGCATAGTTGCCAATGTCAAAATTACAACTGCACGTAATACATTTGAGTTTACAGATCCAGTTTTTGGGTTTTGTCCTACAAATGTGTTCATCAGTGTGAGAAATGATACACATCAAGGCTATTTATTGCTGTGTTGTTTGTCGTATCAACGAACTGGAAAATATTTTTATCAGTTATGATTAAAAGAAATAGTGATTTTTTTTTTTAATTAAACTAGATTGTTTATTAGTCCCAGCAGGGGTGGCCTGCATGGGGTGGTGGGTGGGCTAGGTCAGGGTGTGTGGGCTGTGAGGAGTCTACAGCGAGGGGGGTGGGGCTTGGAGGGAAGAGACTGAGCTTGTTGGCCAGGTTCGAAGGTACTTCAGGTTTGCTAGTGAACATGCTGATGAAAGAGTCGTGGCAGGCCTGAACAACGCCGCCAATAAGATTAAGAAATTCTTGGAAATCTAGCTTCCCATCAGCGTTGAGGTCTAGTTTCTTCATCATGCGGTCAAAGACACCGGGGTCCTTCTTGGTGAAGGCAGCCAGTTTTGTATTCATGAAGTTCAAGAACTCCGTTTTGGAGAGGGTAAGGCTGTTTCCGTCCTGTCCAGCGTACCTCTGCCCCACTTACTTTGGGCACATGGCCAGAAGAGATTGGTGCTTGGAGAAGGAAATCATTCTCAGAAGGGTGGGCTGACAGTGCCGGAAAGGAAGACCCTGTATGAGATGGATTGATACAGTAACTAAGGCAATGGGGGTTGGTGTGTCAGAATTAGTGAGACTGGCTCAGGACTGGAAAGGGTTCAGAGCTGCTGTACATAGGATCACTATACATCACAGGCAAGTCAATGGCACATAACAACAATAACATACTATGACAGGTTTGGAAGCAGGAGTGGCATCCACTTCCTAAACAACTTGCCTCAGAAAACTCTGTGACATTTGATAAATGTCAATAATTGTAGAAGGGTATCAGCCCTTTTGTTCATAGGGTCACTAGAAGACAACAACAACAACAACAACAACAACAATCCTTGGAAAGTGGCAATAGTAGTTACTGCTGGGAAAAGGAATGGTTGGAGGACAGGAGATTTTCATTATGTTACCCTTTTGTCCTTTTAACATTTGGAGCTTTTAAAAAATTTGGAGCTTTTTAAAAAAAGTATTTTTAGACATTTGAATGTATTACCTACTTTAAAAAAGTCATTGCTTATAGAAATTGGTAAAACCGCTTTAGGAAAGAAGGGTTTATTGAAACTTTATATTTTGAATAAAATTAAAGTTTGCAAGGCAGATTGTTTTCCCATCCAGCTAGTCATACATATTTTGTTTTATGACGTTGGGTACCATCCCCCATTGTAACAGCACTCTTCCCACTTCTACCCTGTGATTCTTGTTTCCATTAGCTTTTCTCCCTTTTCCTGCCCTCTGAGCTTTATCCGTGGGTGAATGCTACACTTCTGATCTTATGTGGATGAATATCCTAAGGACTGAAGTTGTGGGAAAGAGTTCAACTTTAACTAATACAGTTGAACACTGTTGTTGTTTTTAAGTGCCATCGAGTCATAGATGACTCATAGTGACCCTATGAACAAAAGACCTGAGCACTGTTCATAGAGTTTCTGGAGGCAAGCCATTTCGGAAGTGGATGCCACTCCTGCTTCCAAGCTTGTTTTAATCGGAAAGCTCCACCAAACACTGTCCATGGGTAAGCATTATTGCATTTGACACATTAGTGTCACAGTGTTTAGCATCATAGCAACCATAAGTTACCTCTGTGCAGCAATGCACCAGACCAGTGTTATACCACATAGAAGAACGTTTGACAAAAAACAATTTAAACCAGGCCTGAGGGCTGCAGACTAAAATCATCCACCTTGGGATTGGCAGCATAACTTTCTGTCTACTAGGCCAATGTAGCTCTCTCTTGAACAGACAGAAACCAAATGACCCTTCAATTCCATTGTAGGAAATGCACTAAGGAAAACTCCTACACATAACCCAAGAGACATCTATAAGAATGACAATAACACCAAAATACTGCAAACAACCCGGATATCTGTTAACAGGGAAATACATAAATAATTTGTAGCCTGCTCATGCAATGCAATATTATTTATTTGTGACAATAAAGGAATTAAACCTTTAGGTGTAATCAGTATGGATAACCTAAAAAACAAAATTGTGTCTAAGAAGCAATTTAGAAGAATTTATACACTAAGATACCATTTATAGAAAGTTTAAAACAAGGTACAAATAGTGTATTGTTAAGAGATATAAAAACTGGAGGAAACTTTCTACGAAGATGGCACCAAAGGCGAAGAAGGAAGCCCCTGCCCCTCCCAAAACTGAAGCCAAAGCAAAGGCATTGAAGGCCAAGAAGGCAGTCCTGAAGGGCATCCACAGCCAAAAAAAAAGATCTGCATGCCACCCACCTTCTGGCGGCCTAAGACGCTGAGACTCCGAAGGCAGTCCAAATACCCCCAGAAGAGCGCCCCCAGGAGAAACAAGCTTGACCACTATGCCATCATCAAATTTCCCCTGACCACTGAGTCAGCCATGAAGAAGATAGAAGATAACAACACACTTGTGTTCATTGTGGATGTCAAGGTCAACAAGCACCAAATTAAACAAGCTGTAAAGAAGCTTTATGACACTGATGTGACCAAGGTCAACACTTTGATTAGGTCTGATGGAGAGAAGGCCTATGTTTGAGTTGCTCCTGACTATGATGCTTTGGATGCTGCCAACAAAATTGGGATCATCTAAACTGAGTCCAGCGGGTTAATTCTAAATAGAAATTTTTCACACACACACACACACACACACACACAACTCAACCAAAAAAACTGTAGGAAAAAGAACATGAGAAGGATAAACACAAAAATTAGCACAGTGGTTGCTTTTGGGGAGGGGTATGTAAAGCGTTTCAAGGCTGTGTTGAGCTTTGTTGCTTTGTTCCTTGGGCTGGGCGGTGGATTGTTGTTTTTGTGTGTGGTAGAGTTGGAACCAACTCATAGCTGATCCTCCAAACGATTTCAGAGCCAGTAAATTGCATGAACTCTCATGGCCTAGTGGCAAGAAACTGTGCTGCAATCCCAAAGGCATGTAGTTCAAATCCACCAGCTGCTCCGAAGAAGAATGATGGGCAGTCTCCTCCTGTGCAATTAAACTGCCTCTGAAAACACTCCTGAGGGTCTGCTATGGGTTGGTTTCAATGAGAAGAGATCGTTCTTCCTTCTCCTATGGAGCAGCTGGTGGGTTCGAACTACAAGCCTTTGGTATTGTAGTAGAGCTCTTTACCAGTATGTCACCAATGCTCCCTGAGTGGTGGGTACATGGGTATTATTCTTTAAACAGTGCAATATCTATTTTCCTCACACTCTTTTTTGGTATATATTTCAAAATTATGTCACAATTTAAAAAGAATAAACTGACATAGAGCACAAGCTCTGGTGGCCTAGTGACAAAAAGCTGCACTGCAATCCCAAAGACAGGTGATTCAAGACCATCTCTTCTCATTGGATTAACTGTCTCTGAAAACCTGCCGGAGGTTCAGCTCTGGATCGGTTTCAACTCTATGGTAGGTACACAACAACAACAAACTGATAGTAGCAAAAGCCAATATACATGGAAACTTGATCTAGGCTTAACCTTTTTCTTTAATTTTTATTTTATTATTTTTTTGTGTGTACCATCAAATCAGATCTGACTGGTATAGGAGGAGATTGTCCCTCCTTCTCCGGCCGAGGATCTGGTGGATTTGAACCATGTACCTCTGGGGTTGCAGTACAGCTTCTTGCCACCAGGCCATCAGAGCTCTTAGACTTAACCTTAGAATCTACTATCTGTAAGTTGTCTGCTCTTGTTTAACTTCTCAGCACCTTAATTTGCACTTCTGTAAAATGAATGTCATAACACTGCCTAGAGTCTGATGGGACGATCATAGGGATATGCTATGAAAAGTTCTTTGTAAAATGTTTGGCCTATGTAAAAGATCCTCATTTCACAAATGAACAAAATAAAGCCACTTCATTTCATCTGTAATTCCTCATCTGAGTTAAAAATTAACTAGGTGAGGTGTTCTTGTTTTTATGTTCTTTTAGTTCTTTGAACCTTTCCCTCTCAGCAGTTAGCCCAGTTTGCAATGTTTTTTTAAAGGTGAAGGCAAAGATAGTTTATTAGGAAAAATATGTCTCAGAGAGAGAAACTCTTCCAGATGATTCAATCTCTGGAAATAAAAAAATGGAGAACTAGAGTTTGTTATTCTTGAATCATGTGATAATGTCATGCTCACTAAATGCTAAGCGGAGGGGCTATTTTGTTTT